TGGAACTTACAATACTGTCTGAGAAAAAACACAAAACATCAAAAGGAAGATAAGGGCTTGTGGAAAACAAATTCCTTTGCCTGAGCTACAAAGCTATCTCTGGTGCACTTTCAAGACTTTAAATTGGCCCTAAATGTGTCTAGAAGATTTTAGTACTGTGTTCTTGTGTTTTTACCAGAACTAAGGAAGATTTAAATACCATACATCAGGCCATCTGGTAGATTTGTGCAACATGTCTAGAAACGGGGGGAAATTGCCACAAAATATACAACTCAGTATTGTGTGGCAATTGCTACATAAATATATAAAATATCAAACATATTACTTAAGGTTGCAAACGGTTTAAATTGCATTTTTAATACTGACAAAAAAATCAAAAAATAAGCCCTGACATTAAAGAGAAGTACTGGAGATTTTTCTTTTTAGTGTTATATTAATCTGTCCTGAGCGTGTGACGAGCATGAAAGAGAATCCCTGATCATTAGAACTTCGGACTAGTCTGGGCTCACGCTCAGCTGTTAATAAAACCCATAAACTAGATCCTTCTAATAGAATAATTTCAAAACCACAACTGGGAGCTACAGCTGAAGGAGTAATCACATTGATGCCTCATCTCTGGACTGGATGTTTACTCGTTTTCTTATTTGCTTGCTTTGGCAAATTCAAGCTTTTAGTCATTTCAGTATACAGAATCAATTACGGTTATATCGACTCCTCCCAGCTCACGCCTGGGGAACGACTTTTCGAGTGACCAAAGTAAAGAAATGCACTACAATGAGACTGGAGATGACACCATTATTTCTCAGTTCCAATGAACAAAACACACTGCATGCACATTTTTTCAGATCAATGGTGGGGAGGAGTGATTAGCAGTTCTTAATGACTATTTAATTATACTAAAAAGCACAAACTTTCAGGTTGCACGGAAAGCAAAAAGCCTCAGTGTGAACGCTCACATCTTCTCTAACTCTCAGCCTTTGGTTAATCATCCGAGTTCGCTGTAGGAATATTTATTCGCTTTTTTATTCACTTTTCATATCACTCCAGAGTGTATGATCTGGGCTGTGACAATTCGTGTGATGACTCAAAGCTGAAAGCCACTAAAATATTTAGGCCAATCACACGTTGAATTTATTCTCACCTTATTTTTAAGCTAATATTTTAGTCTTTTTTAAATATAAGCTCTTGTCAATAAGGCCGTTTTACACCTAATTTACACAGACATTAACAACATGATCAACTAAAACCATAACAATGGGTAAGATTAATTCTTTAGTTGACTAATTGACAACATTGTTAAATGTGTTCACGTACTAGTGGTTCAGTAAAAGGACACAAGGACATGTTGTGCTGCTTCCTCAAGCAGAAACAAGCCAACTTCAAATATCAAATCCACCCTGATGGGGGAAACTCAGGTTTAAAGGGTTTCCCATCAGTACAAGGGATCATGAGGTTTTATAGTGATGATGAGTGCCATGTCTCAGTCTTATTTGTGACCTTTCTTTTTCACTTGAGGAGATGGGAGACATTTAAATGGCATTGTCCCACTGCAGATACTCTATAAGGATGAACTTTTTAGTCATAATCACAGTTCTGTGCATTATTCTGCTCTCCCTGTGCCAGTCATTTTAACAGATCAAATTCAGTTTATGGTAAACAAAGTCAGTGAAAACTTTCTGAAGTTTACAGTAATTGAAGGGCTCATTTTATCATGCCTTTGATTTTGTTTAATTGTTTATTCCAACTTTAGCATTGTTGCCATATTCTGGTTAGTGTTTACCAGAACATGGTTACTGAAAGGATTGATTAATTACTCTTCTGGCTGTGAAAATAGAGAAAATTGTTCAGCCTTTTAGGCGACTGTCGAGCACTTTGAACACCGCTAATTGAATGACTGATATAACTGTCAATGGCCGCTGCAGTTGTGCAATTTTGAACAACTAATAAATCTATCAGAGGAACTAGGGAGTGTTGCCTCGTCCATCTTCTACCAAATGGCAAACAGACCACACTCCTGCCCTTTCCTCACTCAGCTGCCTATTAAAAGGGAAACATGTGGTCTAGTGTCTTGTTTCAGGGAAAGTGAAAACATACGCCCGCTGAGGTACACAGTTGAGCATGTTGTGACAAAGAGTGGCTTTTCCCTTCCCTTGTACCGCATTCTCTCACTGCGAATCGCCACATGGGGTAAGGGTAAGTGGTTTGACCAGTCCCTGCAATCACTAGGCAAGGCCCCCTACCTTGATAGCCATTCAAGGAAATCAATCAGTATTCAGGTCATGAAACGGGGATGCCCCCTTAACACACAACCTCTGACCCATGCAGGGTTCTACTCCGAGAGCGTGACAGGGATTTGTGCTGCCAGTGTCTGCTGCGTGTCCGACACTAACAAAGTCCTTGTGTTGAAGGGAGGAGCGTGGCCTGACCCTGTCCACCTCTGACACAATAATTCCAGCTGAGGAGTTCAAGGTGGCCTGACCTGCAGCTGAACCAGTCTATGGAAACATGGCTACAAGCTCTAGCTGAGCCTTTTCCTCCATCCCCTAGAGTTCCATGGAGAAACAAGGGGTGCGCTCAGGTTTCGCGAGCAATGCTGTAGCGTAAATCGCCACATTTATTCCTTCATATTTTACTTAATATCCGAACAGTTGGAAAGCCTTCTTTCTGTCATGGGAAGTACATGGGGGGCAGAATTAGCATAACGTAATTACACTGGGGAACGATCCAGGCTCCAAGGAGCAAGACATAACCTGTAATTTACCATAGTGCTCCCTATGCAATTGACAGTCAGGCTATGATATTGGAGATAAATGTCGAAATTTAGGCTGTTAGCTTAACTGATGGTGCATTCAGTATGATAATAACCACGGTCTTGCACACAGTGAGCCTGATGAGCAGTCCTGCAATAGCTCTTCACCACTTTTCCTCCCCTCCAT